TTAACTTTAAGCTGATGCACTAAAGCGAAGCCATATTGCGTTGATAAAAAATGCATCACCGACACAGGTCCTCGGTGCGATATAAATCGTTTGAAGTCAGACATGAAAGAATTGAACTTGGTAGTGAGTTCAATGTGAATCGTGCGAATTGTCAAGCATATAAATAGACATATGTACGCCATGTGGCTACGAACGCCATGGCCAAGTCTTGGAGTAATCAACAGCGGGCCTCCTTAATCGCAACCCATTTGAACAAAAGCTTTGGGTACAGTTTGAGTTCGTATCGGGGGCAGATCTACCATAAGCGGACTAATCGATTTGGATGATGTGCGAAAATAAAAATTGCATTTATCTATTATCGAACAGGTAGTTCGTCTAGCGGTAGTAATCCAATACCTCTATCTTCAAAAACTACTAATAAATTAGGACCAGTATGGCAATGCATGCAATGATAAATATGACCTAAATATGACCTACATCCTACAATGAGGTTTACTACATGATATTTCCTAGGTAACAAAATAGGATTCCGATGGTCGAAGGTTAAGTAAGCGTTACTTAATCTTTTTCCAACGCAGATAATCTCGTTGTGAAGAAACGGATTTAATTTCTGTATGTGTTTCTGATATTTATTACCTGATTTTAATTGCTCAAATCCTTCGCGAAAATGGATTATTTGTACAGCGATAAGAAGTTTACTTAAAGCAAATTCTAAATCAAAAGCAGAAATAAAATTACTGCGCGGTATTAAGAAATCTATATATACACAATTGTGTTCAAAAGTTTCGTCCATTTAGAATGTAGAGAAAAGACCTGACACAATAATGGATTTCAGTTCTGGAACATCGTAAGAAGGTTCTAGCTTAAAACATGTTATGGTCCAATCAGTCTCTTCCTTATGTGTCCAGCTAGGACCGGTCATCCATAGTGGATGAACTAAAAGTTGCGAAGGTAATAAACCACGGGATAAACATTCTAGCGTTGTCACACCCAGGTATATGATAAAAATATTTCGCGGGTAGGAAGATGCTGAATTTTGGAAACCCTATTAGCGATAAAAACCTGCAGGCTATGTGGAGATGTGTTAATCCAGTGTAGCGCTACGGTGGAGTAAGAAAATGCATAAATGTGGTTAATGTTACAACGCAATGAATAGCTGTCTGACACCGCGCGTCCATAAGTTCGAGTCGCGGCGTCGTAATAACTCGGTTACTAGGCGATACTTTGGATTTTGCGCATACTAAGGTAGTCGTCCGCTTGCCATAGTTACATGAGTAAACATACAGCGGCTCCGTATGCCCGTTCGCTTGCGTCACAAAAACTTAAAAGGGTGGGTCAGAACATTTTACGTCTCACGTAAATGAGATGGTTATATCGCCATCTATCAGAAGCCATTAACTCTTTCTGGCATATCCCAAGCCGCCCCTTACTCTGCAACCTCGCGTCACTACTTTTTTATTTACAATAACATTAGCCATACGCCCCAGCTTCGCACGAATGACTTCTTCCACGGGTCCAACCGTAGCGACGAATCATCCAGGTGACCCTATAGATACCCCATACAAATTTTATCAAAATTGGTCAAGCTATTTAGGAGGAAAAGAATTACGAACACATGCACACCGGAATATTTACCGTACCACAGACGTAACCTTCCTAATTTTTTAAACAGTAATAATAAATCAGTCCATTGATTATAGACATAACGATTAAGAGACATTGTTACATTATTTTAGTGTCATCTGGCTCGTAGGTTATGGAGAGCACAACAATGGTGATGCTTCACGGTCGACGGCCAAGCATCCGGTGCCAGATTGCTTAAATAATGTATCATATGGAAACGTACAATATTTACGCATTTGACATTGTTTAACGTCGCTATACGATACAGTTAGAATTTGTAGTTGTTTCCTTTTCGATGCTGGGTGCTGTTTGAAAAGAAATAAGCCAAGCTTCATACCTGGTAGAGAGACGCTGCAGAAATATTATTGTTGTAGCAGGAATAGGTCGGCTGGACTGGGGAAAAACCACGCTCTCACAGAATACCGGCGTAACATAACAGCTTAATGATGCTGTGTTTCGTATGGTGAGTTTAGAGAACTGGAGAACCTTTTTACGGGTAACGTGGCATTCCATCTTAGTTCACAGGGGTGACAACGCATCTGTATTTTGATTCTTAATCGAGGATCGATGTTGATGTTTACAGACTGCAACAGCCACGTACCATCAGGTGGAGTCTTTGCTCGCTTGTCACCATTATTTTATAAAAAAAAGCTGATCAAATTAACAATTTTTCTTCTACTGTTTACTTGTTGCAAAAGTACGTTGATGTTCTTCAAGTGTATGCATGTATATCTAATTCCTTGAGCACGGTATACGATTTGTTAAAATCTATCAATTGGTGTGGTCGAGTATTCTTAGATTGGTCTTAGTTGTAAAAGTGTTTTCGGGTTTTTTTTTCTGTAAACTATTTTGTACTTAGTAGGGTTTTTATTATTATTTTAACTGATTGGCTTGTTTTATAAAAACTGAACCCCCTTTAAGCGACTACTAGCGCCAAGTTCAAACACATTAAGCTACAGATGCCTTCCCTCTGAAAAGAGGGCTAGGATGAAATGCCTCACAGCCGCTAAATATACTGGAATACTCTTGAGACCGTAACACAGCAGTTTAAACATATTTACTTAATAGAGCCATGCTGCAGCTATATTAGTAGCATAGTTGTAGCACGGATGGGTCGGCTCGACCGGGGAAGGACCACGCTCGCAAAGAATACCAGCTTAAGATAGCAGTTAACGCTGCTGTGTTTCGTATGGTAAGTGTAGAGAACCGGAGACCCTTATTGCTGGAAACGGGGCATTCTATCTTAGTCCTCACGAGTGACAACGCATCTGCATTTTGATTTATATGTGAGGATAGAATGTAGATGTGTATGGGACACAGCAACCACTTACCATCAGGTGGACTGTGTGCTCGATTGTAACCCTTCTCCTATAAAAAACTGCTTATTAATTTCAAAACTATGCAAAAAAAGTCCTACCCCCTAGAGACTTAAGAGATTCAAAAAAATATCTTTTATGGGAGAATCGGACCAAAGGTTGCGCGTGGTTAATCATCCAAACCGGAAATAATTATTTGTAGGCCATACATATTATAATTGTTACGTATGGGATTCGAACTTTCTTTATTTTTTATAGGAGAGGGGGGCAAACGAGCATACGGCTCACCTCATGGTAAGTGATTACTGCTGCCCATGAACTACCGCAACACCAGGGGAATCGCAGGTGCAGCCTTGCAGCGCCGCAGCTAAAGCCACAGCGCTAACAAGCCGTTAACCTGGTGATAATACTGACAAAAAATGCTCGCTTTCACTTTTTATTTAAATTCTCCTGTTCTATATCCCTCCAACTGCCAGAGAGGTACAACGGAGGAGGTCTGTTTAACAGTAGAATTTTAAGGCCAATAAAGGTTTTTGTGGTATTGGCCACTACTCTCTTAAACTGCTGCTATACAGCATACGTGTATAGTTACTGATTGATAATACTTCTTTAAAAAACGCCATGATATTTCTCTACTAATAGAGGCATTTTACGTGAATTGCATATGGGCAGGTCTCCAGAACCAGAACAATTATTTGTATTATCAATTGCTCGGTACGAGATTCGAACCTGCGGCCTCTCAGCGCCGCTGCCTAGCCCCACAACACAAATAAAAATTATAAATTTTAAACATAATAAATATTACAACGCTTAGCCTTGCGTATGTGTTAAGTAAATATGCTTAATATTATATAAATAGGAATTTTTAATGCTACTGTGCTCATTATACTGTAATATAATACAATGTTACATTTTATAATGTAATATTATATTTCATTACATTACTAGGGATCCGCTCCGGTTTCGCACGGGTGATCGTTGGATCTATACAACAGCGCAGCCTACTGAGTCCAATTTTAAATCTAATCCATCCAGGGACACACTCAAACACACACAAAAAATTTCATCAAAATCAGTCGAGCCATTTTCGAGTTTTAACGAGACTAACTGACAGCAATTGATTTATGTATATCGAGACTAGCTGTGTAAATTTATTACGGTTGGAATTCATGGTTTTTGATTTTTTTTTCACACGGAACCATAATTGTTTTTCTAAAATAACAGTAGCCTAAGTTACTCCTTGTAACATCAGCCATCTGCCAGTGAAAGTCCCGTCAAAATCGGTCCAGCCATGTCGGAGATTAGCCGGAACAAACAGACAAACATTTTAAAAATTGTGTTTTTGTTATAAGTACCGTATATACTTTAATATTCACGTAGTAAAAAGCTGTTATTTTGACATTACAAACAGATACTTTTATTGTTGTGTATATTATAATGCTTATAACTAACCATGTAGAGGCTGTGAAATACATATACTAATACTAACCCCTCATATTGTCCCGTGGGTTTCGTGAGGCTAAAAAACTGTGGTTGCAAAACTATGACTATATCTAAGGGAGGTCTATGTTCATTAGTGGGCTTTTATAAGCTGTTATGTATGACACTTATATACGTATTTACTTGATCCGATTTTTCCGATTTTTTGTCGCTTTTGTAATATGTATCTTCATATTTTAAATCCTATTTTATTCTCTCATTAATTTAATCCAATTTTAAAGTACATCAGACAACAAATCTAAAATTATGACTATGTGTCACATTTCGACAAGTTACAAAGCTCTAAATAGGAATGCTTAGCTGACATATAAAAATATATGGCAATTGGTCCAGCTGTTACAGAGGAGTTCAGTCACATGCTCACAGACAGAAGAATTTTATATATAAAAATAAAGAAGGAAGAAAGAAAATAAGTTTATTTATTAACACAAATTGCTTACAAAAATAGCACATTTTAAATTTAGTAAATGATCCGAAAAAGGAACCCTACTTCGACGCTGATCTTCCGTGGGCCATATAGTGCAAACTAAGTAATTTTAAATTTTAATAAAAAGTACATACCTGAAATTTCCGGCGCGTAATGCTATATCTAGCGTGTCGAGATCTTCTTCATAATCGTGACATAGTTCCATCGTCGAGTTTCTCGCTTCATGTATATCAAAGAGCACAGCTCCGTCCCCAGTTTTATCTGTCATGACACTCCTGTACGACCTGGTCCCGAAACTCGACGTGACTGAGGCCCCCCTGGGGAACCTCCGTGGAGGGACGCCTACGTTATAAGTTGGCGGCACCTTCTGTTTCCTCAACCGTTTCTTTACGTAACGTCTCATTCTCAATGACAACATCACGCGGATCCTAAGATGACGCTTGATATTTCTATCGTACCGTACCTGCTCTTTAAATTTTTTGTCTCGCTTCTTCCTTGTCGGTATCTCGTCTATCCGATCCAAGTAGACGTTCCGGTCAATTAATCTATTAGAATCGAGGGAAGGGGATTGATTGAAGAAATCGATATTGTTATTCTTCCAAGCTTTGCTTAGTGACCAATTTTCTCCGCATGAGGAATTTTTTATCGAGTGCTGAATCGGCTTTTCGTAGATGTCTTCCTCGAATGCAATCATGCGTCTTGATATGAGGAAATTATCGATGTTTCTTTTTAGCGTGCTATCCTCTGAGCTGGAATTTGCGTTTATTAGGTGTGAGGTAAGATTTTCTATCGATTTTCTAGATTCATATCTTAATTTTGGCGGCTCAGGATTTTTGTTTCTACGTTTCGCAATAGTCATTATTCTTCTGCGCATGGCTGACATATTAGTTAATTCACTCTTTAGAAAAGGTCCTTTTCTGTCAGAAGTCATATCGGGTGACCAGGCAGCGTTTTCTGTACAGCTACATAAATCCTTTATTAAGCGTCCAATAGCGTTACAGTCATCCTTTGAATGTTCTTTAGACATCTTTCCATATTTCAAAGAACTTGTTTTTTAAAAACTGGTCATTTAAATATTGTTACTAACTTTGCACGTTTTGAATTTGAAATTTAATCATTATTTAAATTACTAGTAAAAGTAATAAATACACTCATTATGCAACTATTTGAAGAACAGGTCAACTTGCAATATTTTTTTCAAGACATTTATTTTCTTATCGAGCGTTGTTTGACGCGTTAAAACATAGGAAATAAGTGTCCCAGCCTAAATATTTTACGTGAGCAAGCCGTGTTCTAACTCTAACAATCGTTAGCGGTAGTAAGTTATTTTAAGTACTAATTTATTTCGTACCGAGCGGTGAATAAAACATCGTGAGGAAACCTGCAAGTAAGAAATTAAAAAATATTTCTGAGGGTATGCGAAGTTAGCCAACATAGCAGCGCGGCAGACTTTTCCTTTCCCCAAGAACCTCTCAGGAAAAAAGGAGGCCAAAGCCTAACAGTTACTTTACTTTCCTTTATGTTACACTTTTTTATCGTATATGTTATCCTTGAATGATATGGGTATGACATTTATTTCTAACTTTCATTATTAGTCTGAGACTGTTGAACTGTGATTGTTTGATTCAAGTTTTTGTTTTATATTTTCAATTATTTCCGCGCTCTCGTCTAGCTACGATTATGACGTTATGTAATCGCTCGTGTAAGACAACAGCCATCTCGAAAGCTGAGAATTACATTTTTAAAATATCTGGATCATGTGAATAATAACACATAAACTAAGTTACTATCTGTTTTATTTACTTTTTTATTTTTTTCCTTGGCAAAATAAATAACATAAAAATAACCTTTGTAGTATATGTACTCCTTTTAATGTAAAATTAACAGGGCACATAGTTTTCCCAATGTTAAATGATATCTACGTACACATCCACTGACCATCTTAAAGGGTTAGAAGAAATTATAATTTTCTCATCGACCACATCTATCTAGTTAAATTGTAAAGCCAAACATTATCTAAATATAAAATTTCATCTACATCGTTGGAACCGTTTTCGAGAAACCATTACTTATATGATGCTCATTTAAGTTTCGGATTTATTGAAAATAAATTTAAAAATACTCTATAAAGTCTCTCTCTATTAATTTTCCTCTGTTAGAAACAGGCTTCCTCTCATTATTGAGGTAATAAACGATCAGGGATGGTACACGGTTCTGCTGAGCGTGTTACCAATCTTCAAACAACATAAAATATTCTAAAAAGATCTTATAGTTTCCGATATATGGCGGTAGAAACATCTTGTTTAACCAGATATGAAATACTCAGGCCGGCAACGGGAAACAGCTTCAAAGCTAAAAAACCTCTAGTATTACAATTGTCAAAATAGCTCTTAAGCGTGTTGAGTAAGTCACATCATCTCCGCAGTGGAAACTTTTACTGTTTGACGAAGAAATAACATACATGAATCCTCACGGTGTTTTCTTTCACAATCTAACACATGATAAATCAGCACTTAAAATTACAACTCACTACTAAATAGGTGCTTGCGTAAAGTATCAAACTCGCATGTTCGCTTAGGTAACCTATATTTGAGCTAACAAACTGAATATAAACTGACGAATTCAATATATCTATTTCTAAAATAGATCAAGATTTTTTTTCATGTAAGAGTCACGCTATAATTGTACTCTGGTTGGTTAAACATGTAGCCAGTTAATACCAACTCATAATAGAAGCTGCTAGCTATGTTATAGTGAGAGCAATACCCGCAGACTTTTTTTAACCTATTACGAGGCATTTCATGTTGGTTGGTGTTCAAGGGTGACAAACATAAAATATACAGTCTACCTGATGGTAGGCGGATGCTGTGGCCCATAGACATCTACTCTATTAAGAATCAAAATTCAGATGCGTTGTCACCCCTGGACTAAAATGGAATGCCTCGTTTCCAGTAAAAAGAAGTCTCCGGTTCTCTACACTAATTATACGAAACATAGCAGTATTAAGCTGCTATTACACGCTAGTATTCCGTGAGAGTGCGGTCCACTTTCAAGCCGATCCATTCATGATGAAATCATAAAAGAACTGCAGCATAGCTCCACTACCGAAATTCTAAATTGAGGATAGATAAAAGTGTATATGGTACAAAGCATTAACATACCATCAGATAGACTAGCAGCTTTCTTACCACATTATCTTGTATTAAAAAATAAAAACTATTACCGTAATTACAATCACAAATAGAAATGAATCACGCAATATTTCTTTAATCTATGACTGCAAATTAAAAAAATATAAATAATTTGCAATCCATCACGACATTGTAATTACCTACCGAAGAAGTTTTCCTTAATAATCTATCCAGTAAAAACGCTATCCAGTGCATGTCATTTAATTACCTACTTTTTACGTGTGTCACATTGTTATACGCACGCCGTACCGCATTTCATACAGTATTTTGAAAAAGAAATTAAAATTTCCAAAACTACTCCGAGTGAAACAATTTTTATATAATAGAGATTAATAAGTGTACATTTTGAAAGTAATTTGTAATATTTAATGTTCAGCTTTCAAAATGATTTTCAATTTTTTTTCTAAAATAAATAGATTAGAATGGACAAAGTCATTACATTAAACAATCATTGGTTTTAATTGCACAAGCTTTTAAAACTACTGAATTACACGCATAAACTAAATAATTATGATTTGAAATTTCCACGATCATGCATACCTCAATATAAACGTTATATTTGTCAACTCACAACAAAAATAAATAAATAAACTTTCTATTTCATATGCAGGTACCATAAAACAATTTACACTTGCTCTACGTTATATCGTATATTTAGCGATGGCTCACTATGATGTTAGATATGACCGAGTTTGCATCGTAATTATGTGTACTGGAGATAAATAAATGAATATCTATAATTAAGTGCACCATTTACATTTTATTATAGGTGTACTACACACAAGCGTAAACACATAATATACAATAGAATTAAGCTAATATTTGCAAGTATATTTTAAATATTTAAATTTTTTATTATTTTAAGGTAGAAAAATATATATTTTTTATAAATATTTCTTATTACCGAATTGTTATCATAAAAGTCAGTACTGGGGATAATTACGGTTGAGAAGAGATTTAATATTGCATCTCAGACAATTCGTTCATGCCTTAAACATGAATAATATCTTATTTCGTTTGAAGAAAACATCATAGGCAATAATTATGCAAATGCTGACTAAATTGCCTTTATTGAACAGGCATTGGCAAGTAATATATCGCGGTGTAGTTGTTAATCTATTGATTAATAGAGCTGAAATAAATCACGAAAACTTACTGACTTGAAATTTATATTTAGTGCCATAATTTTATATCTTTTACGTATTCATTGAGCTTGAAAAATAAACCATCTCATTACTCATTAAAAAATGTATTCTTTACTTTACTTTTCTGTTGTTATGTTCCTTTTAATATGATATGTAGTAAAAAATAAAGAACATCATAGAGGAAAACTAACAATTATTTCACTCACGCATTCTAAGTCGCTATTATTCAACTTTTTTGGAGTATTTTCTACTCTACTCTCATGTCAGTCAATATTTTCCCAAGAACAATTAACCATTGTTACGAAATCAATTCCTGCTTAAAAAGGCGCCTATCCTATGCAAAGTGCCATTTGTTTTCCTCTGAGAAAGTGGTCATAACTCATAATTCATTCTGTTTAAACGTTTCGGAAGTATGAGTTGGTTTTAGTGTGTAATATTTAGAAAATATTTAATAACATAGAATAAATCTTGTCATAATTATAAAATCAAAGAGAAGAATTTCAAAAATCCGTTTGCATCTTGCGTTTTTTTTTCTTACGCAATACATCACGTTCACTCTCACACACGTTAATAAAATGTTAATTCACTTTCATACACAAAATTTCTTTGAATAAAACATTTTGTCTTTGCAACTTGAAATAAAAAACACACGTATACAAGGTTCGCGTCAAAACCGAATTTGTTCTTTTTGTAGATTATTAATCAGTCACGATACTTGCACGAGTTTTAGGTGGTTAATGCTCAGTACGACGCAATTATGTACAGTTGACCATGTCGAATTGCGCGTGATGAGAGACTGCCGACACGGGCACCGGCCTCGCTCTTTCTCCCATTCCTACATAAGTGATGTAGATAACTCTGTTGATGGAAATTAACAATCGCACCTGCATCTACTATTGTTGCTTGTTTGACAGCCATTATATGTAACGCGTGGGGTTTCCATTTTGTTTGGAAACAAAAATATTGCTACGACAAGGAAAAATACTTTTTGAGGATACATTTAAGTTACTTATATTTACGGAAACTCATAAACGATCTTACTGGTGGTGATAAAGTTGATTCATGATCTCAAGGATAAACCTTAATTCCGTATTTGACAGAAAGATAGGTGATTGTAATACCAAATGTCTTGCACATTGAACGTTTGTAACCTGGATTTTGTCCTGTCGACGGATGTACGGATTTACAGCCTGCTTTTCACGCACTAGAACTATGCTGCTTTTTATATAACGGCTCAGTAACCGCTACTCTAAGACCAAATACTTACTTATTTTCTTCTTGTTTAACAGTTCTTGTTTTCTACGTGGGGAAGGCTCATAAAAATCAGCACAAGTCCACAGCTCGACATAAACCTCTCCCAGTAGAAATATTTTGCCAGTGCGCCTGCCAAACTGTCGAACGTTTGGCAGGTGCATTGGCGACTGCATTACTAGACTTCTTACATTTTCGACGCTGCTCCTGTCGCTGATCTGGGTATTTTACGTCTGGCGTAAACGAGGTGTTTATTCCACCATCTATCAGAATCTATGAGATTTCAGCCGTCTCTTAGGACATCCATGGGACGAAATAGGTATTCTTATTATTTTGTCGTTTAGTTGGTAATCCGTTAAGTAATTGTAAAAATATAGTAGGGAAGTACTAATCACCCAGTACCTACGAGAAAATTCTATGATATTTTTAAATAAAACTGG